AAACTGCAGCAGATTACCGGTATATACAAATTATTGTAAATTCTTGCAATCAGTAACATCAAAGTGCACATTGTGTTAAAATATTTATAATAGTGTTCATCTACTTTTTTAATGTTTTGCTTTATGAAAATTGATTTTTTCCATCTCTGAATTGGTAACCCATTTCTCTTATTTTTCTGGATTATAGGCAATAAGAGCAAATATTTTGTTAGCTATATGACTAGTGGCAATTCATATATGTCTGATAAATAAATTTGTTAGTATCTATCAATATGCAAGTTCTTTCCTATGGATAGTCAACAAGAAAACAAGTATAATTCAAACATAAATTCATAGAATCAATTGTTATGAAAGTATGAAGGTTACATCTAAGTTTGATTAACAGTTGTTTTCAAGACAACCAGTTTACAGTTTCATTTAAATATTATATAATATTATTCTACTCAGTTTTTAATATAGTATAATTTTGCTTAGTTTAGTAAGATTAGCCAAGTTTGGCTAAGGCCTTCTCTTCCCAGTTTACCCAATTGCTCTGAAACTCTCCCATCCAAATACTAATCAAACCTTAAACTATTCATCATTTTACAGATAAACCTGGATCTGCTTGAGATACAGAGACCTATGCTATTTTGGTCCTATTTCTGCATATTAAAATAGCCAGAGAAGTAATGACTTCTGGAAAATGTCTACAGATTATTTCAAATGACACACCATTGGATAATTCATCAAGGAAACTGTTATGGATGTTGATAAAATTACTGTGGATCTAAGAATACTGTGGCGTAAATTAGATACTACTCTGCAGTTATCAGTGCTTCTCCATTTCCCATCCATACAAGATTGGTGCTTCAAGAAATCAGCTTTAAATTGTTTGTATTCCAACTCTTAATTTTTTTTTTTTTACAGTTGTTAATCAAAAGTTTCTGGGCAGACTAAGCAGTGAGAGGTTAAGAGGACAGATACTTTTACAGACTGGCAATTGGTAAAGAACAGAAAGAAGACAGTAAAAGAAATTAAATGGACAATTTTTACATGAGAGAGATATGACAACGGTCCTTAGGGATCTGTGCTAGAACTAGTGATCCTTAAACTTGTTTACAGATGACCGCAAGTGGCTAAAACAGGTCAAAGTGGTGACACCATCAAATTATTCAGGGTGATAAAATCAAAAGGAAATGGCAAACAGCTTTAAAGTGATCCCTCCAAATGTTGCATATGGTCTTTAAAATAGCAAATGTAGTTCAATGTAAGCAAACATAAATTCATGCTCATTGGCACAAACAACTAAATTTCATGCATTCATTAATGAAATCAGGATTGGCATTAAGTGATCCAGAAACGCATCTGAAAAGGTGGATAACTCAGTGAAAATGTGACCTCGCTGGACAGCAGCCAGTGATGAAGGAGCAGGAGGCGGCAAACTCTACAATTGGGAATAGCGAAAAACGAGATTGGAAATAAAACTGGAAATGCAGGAATGGCTTAATGTACAATTTGTATATAATAATATTTATAGTAATGATCACCAAATCTGAAAAATGACAAGAGATGATATAAAATGATTCATGATGAAGAAAAATATACAGAAGTTTTTTTTTTCTCTTTCCCAGTGTCAGGATTTTAATTTCATTTATATTAAATTAAATGCAAGGATGACTAGGGATCTTTATACAACACGAAGTTGATAAGATATGGTGATGGCCATTCATTTACAAGTTTTTAGGAGGGGCTAAACAAACACATGGAGAAAACATATCAACAGCTGCTAGTTCTGATAACTATGTATTACCCTCTTGAATCAAAGAAAGGTTCCCAAATTCATCTGATTAGTCACTAGATGTTAAAGGATGCTGGACTAATTTATTGATTCATTGACTGATGTTAAATGATAAATATTAGATGGACCATTGGCCTGTGCCCTCACAGTTCTTGCATTCTTAGCTAAATGAAAGAAATCACTTGAATTATGCCCAGGAGAAAATAAACCTGCAGCAACAAACAAATATAGAAATGTGTATTTTTACCATCAAACAAATAAGAGCCTGTAGTACAGTGGACTAAAGCACTGTTATTAACATCTGCTGCTTGCAATTACTGCAAGTTCAAATCTCACCAGGCTCAAGGTTGACTCAGCCTTCCATCCTTTCAAAGGTAGGTAAAATGAGGACCCAGATTGTGGGGTCAATAAGCTGACTTTGTATAAATATACAAAAGTATGAAGGCTATTGCTTAACGCATTGTAAGCTGCCCTGAGTCTCCGGAGAAGGGCGGCATATAAATTAAAGCAATATATATATATATATATATATATATATATATATATATATATATATATATATATATATGTGTGTGTGTGTGTGTGTGTGTGTGTGTGTGTGTGTGTGTGTGTGTGTGTGTTGAAAATCTACAGATTTTCACAGTTCTTAAATCCCTTTATAGATACGTTGTATGAATCATCAATTACAATTTGCTTTACAATGAAAAGATTGATTTTCATTTTAATTTAGGGAAAAAAAATCCTCAGTTCATTTCCAATCTATCAAGAAAGAAGGAAAGAACAGTGTAATCTATTTAGTCAATTTACAATGTGTATTGTTTATCCAACATAATGGCATCATATACTACAATGTGACAAAATGCATTATTTAAATACATTGTGCCGTACAACAGGCTGTTATTCTTTTCAAAACCTCAGCCACTTACTGATACATACAACATAATTTGCTATGGTTTATAAAGGGGAATAATTGTCAAAGTGAGTTCATAAAAGAAACTACCAGAATTCCTTAGAGATTTTCTTTATTTATACAATATACTGTATATCACAGTAAAAATATCTATCTATCTATCTATCTATCTATCTATCTATCTATCTATCTATCTATCTATCATCTATCGTCATTGGAAAATGTTTTCTTTTTTTCTTATAATATATATATATATATATATGATATTAGATAAAGAAATCTAAAGGTATAATCAACATACTTCCTTTGTAGTGAATCAAACGCTCTTATTTTTTTAAGTAATACTAGGAAATAATTACATGTGAAATACTCCAAAAGAGTTTATCAATAGCAAAGTTCTAATAACTTCTTTAAATAATATTCTCCCAAAATATTTGAACGCCTTAATCGAATTGCCCAATCCATCTCATATTTTCTTTTTCATGTAAAACTAGGCACCTTGTAGCATTCTTAAAGTTCTAACAGTATTGTCTGAAAAGAATTAGATTCCAAAGGAAAAATATTTTCAAAACAAATCTCTAAAAAATATGCTGTAAAAACATTTATAAAAATTATTTTTAAAACCCTCACAGAATATAACATTACCTTTTATACATTTGAATGTTATTTATATTGATTTTTTAACAAAAAACAATTTTATTATACTACAACATGTTGACGATGTACTCTATAGCAATTTTAATAATATCCATGTTATTTTTACTGGCTTCTTGCAAAATAAGAACAGCTGCAAACTATATTTCATCTGCGGTTGTCTTAAAAATGACTAGAAATCAAAGTATCAAATATATTACATTTTCTTCTTACTTCAAATGCTGTTCAACTTCTATTCAAATATTCATAAAAAAACCAACAATTATACACACACACACACACTATTTCTTTGCCCTGAATTTCCCCCTGACAGTCAAAAAAACTAAGCAATTCTCCTGTTAATCATTTTTAGTTTCGGAGTATTTCTTCTTCAACAGATGTGCGGAAGTTAAAAAATCTACACCATAATTCATGTATGAATTTAAAACAATGATTTCATTCCTTTAACTGTTCACTGTACTCAGGGAATACTAGCAAGAATATCTAAAATACTGAAGACTAACCTGCTTATTGCTGACAGCATCAGATAAATATGGGATAATAAGAACTGGCTAAACATCAGTAGTCGTAAAATAATAATATTTTATTTTATGTATCCTTTTATTCAATAAGACAAGAGCAGAATCCCAATTTAAAACAAATAGTTTCGCAATATAAAATATTATTCATCTGGCACCCTATCAACTTTATAATTATCTCTCTAAGTACAACTTATATGTCTAGGTAAAATAGGTGCCATCACCATTTCAAATTGATATCACCATACTTGAATAATAAAAGAATCCAGTACTTTACTATTTAGATTTAAAACTATGTCTCCAAATATATTTGTTTTAAGATTAAACTTCAAATTAATCAACAAGGTAACTGAAAATATAAAATACTCTGACTTATTTCAGAGTAAGTCTTTTTAAAAAAAATAGAATGATAATATGCAACAAGGAATAACACACGTATGACCACTATTTTCTGCGGGAATTAATTACCCCTAATTTATAAATTCTTTCTCTCTCTTTCTCTACCTATATATAGTTTTTACTGCAAAATAATTTAAATATATGCTAGTAATTAATTAGGATATTGCCCCAATTCTTCATAAACATATCATTTGTTAATAGTGAAAATAGGACAATTGGAGGTTTAATAATGCTTTAATTTATTACTGTAACCTAGTATTCCTTTGATAATACCTGAAGCCTACTGGCTGACACCTGGAATCACACACAGCAAGAGAGCTATTTGAACAGAATATAGTTAACAGCTCTAATTCAGAAACTTCACTGGAAAAATGAAGATGTCCTTCTATTCTGGGCTCAGACCCATGTAAATGTTGCATAAATCCCCCTCACAAATCTCTTTTAACATGCAAATCCATAAATCATCAGAACGCTGACAAAGAATTTAACCAGCTTGTGAAACTAATGCATATTCTGTCTGGAGTTGGATACTGATAGAACTATCCAAAACATCACCCATCACCAATTTACTTTTGGTCAAAGGAGAATAATTTATGCAGTCATTTCATTTATCCATACGATGATTAAAACGCCTGAGGACAATCATTGATATCATTTGTAAATTAGTAACATGACCAATGGCACCTCGTTTACTTAAACACACAATAGAAATATAAGTAGCAAATTGACAGGGAGTACTTACTGAAGATGGTAAACCTGGAGGAACTTTTCGAACTTTCTTTGTTTGTACTTCTGAAAAGAGGAAGATAACAGGGGAACGGTGAGAGGCATTTTTGCAGCCTCAGACCTTCACAGTCTGTGATTTAGCACTGAGCTTAGCATGTCTTTATCAAGTTGTATAAGACAGTTCAGTAGAAGTTGCACATTAGAAATGTAAGGAAGTAACTCACCAACAGAAGTGCTGTGCAGAGGCCTCCTCCGTGGATTATTGCTAGAATACTGATAGTACTGAGAACCAGGTTTGGTAGGAGAAAGAGTTCCTGGGTTGCCCATTTCCATGTCACCTCCAAGGAGACTTTGCTAAAAGATTTTTGAAAAATAAGTATTGTTACATCTAACTTTTCCCCTATTGCCTTTTCTATATGCTGATTCAAATTAACAGCCAATAATATGAAAGGGTCTGTAACAAGAAAATTGTTGCAAGCAGCCAGTCAAAATTCATTTCAGCATGATTGTTTTAAATACTACAAAACAGTCCTTTAAAAAAAAAAATAGAGAACAATTTCATTATTACTGAAAAGAAATGTTTACATATTTAATTATTAATTAAATTATTTTTTTTTCTGCTTAAAGGAAACAGCATAGGAGTATTTTTTTTAACTTTATTATCAAAAGATCCAGAACTACTTATTTTTCTATATTATTTAGGATGAATAAAATATATTGTGTTCTTTAATATAACTTTTTAGTCTAATACTAATGAGCAACTGCCAAACGATTTCATTGTGAAGAGATAATCATTTTAAAAAAGGCGTTTGTATCCAATAAAACTATTTTAAAAAGCGGCTTATAGCTACCATATAAAATGTGCCAATCAAGTATATGGTCATTGAAGAAGAAGTCAAAATAATAATAATTATAATTATAATTATAATTATATATATATATATAATTGAAATTAGCTGTTGTTTGGCTACATTATTTGGAACAAGGATCAGAGATTGAGGAAAAAATAGTGAACAGAAGTTGTTTTAACAAGCTACTTCAATATCATATTGTTACAATAAGAATGTGAGCATCCAGAAATACAAAAAGTACTTACTTATGAATGGACAATAGTTACTACTAATCCAGAAGAAATGGAATCTGAGCACAGTAACAAGGAAAAACCAGAGACTGACATTTTCTAAAAATTCTATTACTATAACTACATTGCAACTTACCCATAATATATAAATCCCCTGATTATACTCTGCACTGAACACATTGTTCTTTTAATTTTTCTGATATGCAATAAAACAGGTGCAGATACTACCATTTATATGATGAAGAAATTTCCCATTTAATAAAGAAATTTCAAAATTAAGTACCAAAAATCTAACTTTATCGTTACTTGTAATCAACTTTTACTGACTGAACTAATTACTGTACTTGATAAAGTACAGAATGTGTTTTCCCTAATCTAAATTCTAATCACCATGTCACTCACAACAGACTTAGTAATGCTTCACTAACACACTATTCACATGCAAAACACTCTAAATAGGCCAATTATGACTCTGCCCCTGTTCCCTGGTTAACCCGCTGAGAACTGAAAAATTTCACAAGACAGTCACCAACTAAAACAAAGACTCCTTGTTTTAAATTAAGGCAGTCTTTTTGATTCCTAAATAGTTCAACAAAGTACCATGTCTTTGTCTGAAAGCAGTTGGTCAAATATGACCTATGAGCTGGAAAATATATTGGAAAAAATAAGTAAATAAAATAAAATTTAAATATAACTTTTGCATCCTTGGAATATACGTATATTAAAATGTCTTTCCCTAGAAAGGCAATTCGTAAATTTGTTAGTAACAACCTACAATCAAGACTATATGTACTGAACCTTTATTTCCAATATTATACGAAGTCAGAAAGGAGTTTTTCACATCCCAAACTCAAAATAGGAAAGCATTAAAATCACCTTCTTTGTAGTTCTTAGAAGGCCATAATAATGGTTGCGTTTGGACCAAAATAGGGAAATTGAGAATATGCTGTGCTAACAAGCAGCTTCAAGCAAATTTAATCATTAACGTTGATTGATTTTATATAATAAAACTTATTGAACTTTATTATGGAAAGCCCACTGGAATACATCTTAGGAATCAGACATATAAGAATATGCATCTTCTCAATTAAATGATTTCTGTGGATATCTATCTTCTGTCTGTTAAACAGCCAAGTTTAATTTTTAATATGACTATAGGAAAAAAAATAGTTCTAAATTTTTTCAGTTCTAAAAAAAAAATAAACTGTTGGGAGGAAAAGACAGAATTATACACATAATAAACATATATAGAATATGGTTCCAAGCCACAATTTCAATTATTTAATTGTATTCTAGCCACTTTGTTAAGTTGTTCACAAGTTACTACTTTAGCTGGAAAAGCCTTCAGTTCGCAAACATGCCAAAATACTCCTAACATGTGATGCTTTATAGGCTAAATGTTTGCTGTGAAAACTCTGTGGACTCCTTTACTAGATAGATGCAGTATTTATCAAGTACAGTACAACATATACTCAGAATAATGCCATGTGGATCAGATGGAGTGGTTTATAATCCATGACACTTCAAGGATTTCAATTCATCAGGAAAAAATATATAAATATAATACTCCCAAAAAAGGAGCAGTCTTCTAAATAAGATATCAGTCACATATACTACCATTTCTAGCATAGTAGCCCTGACTATAAACAAAAAATTAAGAGCACTGTATTCCATTAAAAAAAAAAGTACACAAAAGTTACAAAACTTTATTAAAAACCGTAGTGTGGCATGAGAAAATCCACCCATTTTACTTTTCATTCAAGCAGAGTAGTTATATTTTGCTACATATTAGATGATACATAAATAATCAAGCATCTTTGCAAATATATAAATTTGTGTATGTTTAATCAAGGCAACCAAGGAGGGGGGAGGGGACAGTAGCAAAACATTACTAGCTTCTCCTTCCAGCTTTTCACTTAAGTGCCTCTAATGTGGTCTTTATTTAAGTCTTTGTTTTTCATTGGAACAGCTAAGTCATTCTTCTGAGGCAACAAAACATGCATTTATGTGCTCTTGTGGGGGCTTCTCTAAGTACTCCACTGGGGAGAAAGAAGATAAATATATATCTATTCATTCTGAGGTACTCCTAAATAGAACAACAACCCCTCTACTATTGCTCAATCATCGCTAACATCTTTTAGCTGAAGAACAATGCTGAAAAATCATGAGGCCACAATTTAACATTTGAGCTTTCTCAACTTAAAAAAGGATAATCAATTATGAAATTCAAAAGCTAAATTCAAAGAGTTAGTTTTCATCTACATAGGCCTTGGAGTTTGGTATCTGCGCACACACACACACACACACACACACACACACAGACAGACAGACAGAACCTTTAGTCAAACAATTAATATGTTCAATTTTTTCTATTTATTATTGTTATATTGTTCCACTGCTTTAACAGTGAAACAACTGTCTGAAAATTCATTTATATATTTTTATACCATATTGAAGTTCATTTCTGGAAAGTTATGTGAAGCACTCTGAATTAGGAAGGCAAGGTAGAAATATTTTAAAATACCAGGTGAAACATTGGGTTAGATCAGGGGTGTCAAACTCATGGCCCGGATTCGGCCCACGGGGTGCTTAGATCTGGCCTGCGGGACCACCCTGGAAAAAACAAAGGACCGTCCTGCAGTGCCTCTGTCAGTGAAAACGGAGCTTGGGAGGGGCACTCGCGGCCCTCCCGAGCTCTGTTTTCATTGGCAGAGGGTTGCAGGAAGCCGTCACAGCCGAAAACGGAGCTTGGGAGCCCATTTTCGCTGGCAGAGCACTTGGGCTACCACAGGCATGCCCAACACGAGTGACGTTGAGCTGGCCATGCCCACCCTGGCCTCCCAAAGTGAAACACAACCCTGATGCTCAATGAAATTGAGTTTGACACCCCTGGGTTAGATTCTGCATGGCCCTTCTGTTAAACCTCCATCTGCAACTGAGGTCTCTAAGTGTGCGACTTTTACACAATGGCCTCAAACACAAAAGTTATTTCTGCAATACCTACTAAAGGAAAAAGACAATGAGCAGGGCATCTATGGAAGGGCCCTGAGGCTATGATTCATAGTATAAGAGTAGAATTTTGTTCTGCCTCAGCTCCAGATTCCCGAGAATATTGACACACACCAACAGTCCTTATCAAATTTATTAAGTAGCAAGAATAAACCAAAGTCCGGCAAAGGTTGGCAACCAGCCCAGAAAACAAGATAGGACACGACTTTTCCAAAAATGCTCTGTTGATAATTACAAGTTGTTTCCAGCAAGAAACTTACTAATGGCATGTGACTTAAATAGGCTAAGGGAGTGGCCAATTATCCTCAAGCCTTGCTCTCGAGGAGACCTCCTCCTCCTGAGTAGTCACTCCTGCCTTTTGGCAGCCCTACGTGCTCGAGCATTGAGAAGAGGCTCCTCCACTTCACTCTCTCCACTTGAAGGAGCCTCTGGAGGTTCTGAAGGCCTTGGCTGAGTCTCTGCCTCTGGCATCACATCCTCTTCAGCCTCCTAGCTGTCTGACGCGAACGCCGGCTGCGCAGGCTGCTGGCGCAACACACCAGCCTCCTCGTCGTCGTGATCAGCCACGATCCGCGCAGGCTGCTGGTGGGCCACAACAAATTTGCTCAGCTTTCACAGCTAACACTAAACCTTTCTCTAGCCAAAAGACAGATGCCCACAAAGAGAATACAAGCTCAGGAATTGGTTAAAAGCACAGTCAAAAAACACTGTAATAACTGTAATAGTAAATGTGTCACCTATACCCCTCAATATGAATGAATATTAGAATATATTTAAAAGCTGTTTCGATACAGAAACTGGAATTCCTTTATAAGGCTGATTCTGAGTTTGCTATACATAATGCAACTTATTTGGAATCTTTCTTCTTTTCTTTAAACTTAGTTCCTTTTTTTCTTTCATTTTAGTCCTTACTTCTTATCCTGCCCCAGGTAAAAAGCCCCACCTAAATGTATGAAATTATAGATTAAAGCTGAATTTTAAGAATATGTGCAATTTTAAAATAGAGAAATAAAAATTGAGTTTTAGCATTCTCCATGAAAATAATTGTTTGAAGCTAAATAAAGTTTTATTCATGCAAGTAAAACACTTTTTCCCCAAATATAATACAAGGAAATCCAGTCCGCCCCTCCTCCATACTCATTCTTAATATAGATTAAAATGGGTTGAGTGGTGCCTTTCTTAATGAATAATTGATTTACATAAAAGAAATGCCCTTGAACATTAAGGCACTTTGAAAGAAATTAATATAGTAAAAAAAAAAAAA